AGGTTGGCCCTAGCATGTCGGAATCTTTGGATGTTGCACGTGGTGTTCCTCAAGGATCGATTTTGGGCCTTTATTTTTTATTTTATACACCTCACAACTAACTAACAGCTTGAGGCACACCAATGTGCACCTGTACGCAAACGATACCCAACTTTAGATGTCATTTGGTCCAGAAAACATTTTTGAAGCTAACGATAAACTAAATGCGGACCTAGACCGTCTGCTGAGGGTTTCAATTAATCACTGCTTGCTGCTCAATCCTAAAAAGTGTCATGTTTTGCTCTTTGGACGTGCGCAAAGTCGATCTCAATGTCAGGACATGCTTCGAATCAGCCTTGATGGTCAGGCTTTGAGTTGCTCAGCGGCAGCTAGAAACCTTGGACTTTTGCTAGATGTTAACCTTATAGGTTTACAGAACATATAAATAATTGTATTAGAAAGGCATTCGCTAAGCTGAAGGTCATTTTCAATGAGAGACGCCTCTTGAATGCTGATCTCAGGAAATCGTTATGTGACAGTCTGGTTCTATCACAATTCACATTTTGTGATGTCCGGCCCATGTCTGCTCGAAAGGGATGCCAAACGTATCCAACTGATTCAGAATTGCTGCGTGCGTTTGGTAGGTGGCATAAGGAAGTATGACAGAGGGGTGAGTGATAAGATGAGGGAAATAGGGTGGTTCAGCATGAGTGAGAGGAGACTGCTCCATAGCTTAGTAATGTACAACAAAATAATTCCAAAAAATGTCCGGATTATTTATATCAGAAAATAAAATTTAGTTATGACTCTCATGCTCTGGATTTGAGGCATAAACTAACCATCACTCCTCCTCTACACGAAACAACTCTATATGAAAGGTCATTCACTTATCAAATCTCGCTACAATACCTATACAACCTACAATAAAGTTCCTGTTAACTTAAAATCTGCTCCCACCCAATTTTTCAAAAATGCAATAGGCCATTTGATTAAACAAATTAACGCTGCACCTTAGTCTATCCAGCCTTTCCAATTTTTTCCAATTTATTTTTTCTATTCATTCGTATCGGTTATGTTTAAGTTATTGTACCTATTAGGTTAATTGAGGAAGCCTACCTTCAACTTCGCCTTTTGTAATTTTATCTCAAGATTGCAATAAAGACATTATTATTATTATTATTTATTATTATGTATTTGTTACCACGCTCTGACTCAGGGAACGGTACGGCAACATCTATCGCTATTCTTTCAAATGGGAGCCCGACGTTGTACTGTTTCATGGACTCCCGAGATCTTAGTTTAGGGCCTTTACTGGTAGCACAGATGTCGCATTTTCGGCACCAGCTTTTAACATCTTCATGATAGTGAACCCAGTAAAAATGTAGGCACCCGAATTTTGTTCAAAGACTTGTTAACTCCGAAATGTGCCCCTGAAGCTCCGTCATGTATTTCTTTTAATACATCTTCTACTCGATCTTTTGGAATAACCAGTATTGGCTCTTAGTATGTAGTTTACCCATCGGCACTTTTCCAAACTCTTTTCAGTAAACCATTTTCTGCGGCCAGAGAGTTTCACAACGCCTTGTAAATTAAACTCTTGTTATTATCTAAGACTTCCATTTTTCTTTGTTATACCAATACTACTGGCATATACTATGGACTTGACTTTTCAATAATTCCCTCTTGAAGTATTTTATCAATTTGGATTTTGACTTCCTGTTATTTAGCTACTGGCATACGTCGTGGTGGTTGCCTAATTGGATGTGCCAATCCAGTAGCAATTTTGTGTTGCCATTCAACTGGTCCCTCCGGTTTGATTATCCATCACAAACACGTCTGTTTCTTTCAAAATGAAATCTTTGGCTTCTTCTGGCTTCTATCTGGATCGAAGTGTTTCCATAATTTCTCCAAAGTCTGCATCAAAGGTGTCTGTATCCAATTTCGGTTTCACAAAATGTCGCTTTCTAATAGATCATAGTTTGATATTTGCTTAACTGGTTCGAGAGTTCCAATAATATCTCCTCATTCCTTTATTTTAACATTGGCAATTCTTATCATAATGTCTTCATTTGTTCTTACCAGAATCTTTCCAACGACAAACTTTTCTGGTTTATCTTTAATAAAATGATGTGTCAGTCCACCGCAACACCCAGGGTTTGTTTCCAATTTTCTGCAATTGATCTGTGATGGACACAACGAGTAAAGCCACAAATTAATTTGTAATTGAATGTCATATATCACTCACACATCATAATCAATAAACCACAGAGTTAATCAAGAACTCAAGAACCGATATTGTTTAATGATATTATTACAAGGACAAATTCTTCATCAACAAATTTGAATGATGTTCATGGAAGGATCGAAAGAAAAACCATGTTGCCCGATCAAATCTATTCCCAAAATAAGATCATCCTCTATATCGGCGACTATAATGTTCTGTGCCTGAAGGTGGTAGACCCGGAAGTAAGTTCAACGATGCTTCTCCTTGAACTGCGGTGCTAATTTGCTCGTGACTATTCGTAGTGATGAGGTTCTTATGAGCGGTTGTATTATCCGAGACTTGACTAATGTTTTTCTAATTATAGAAACGTCAGCACCCGTATCAAAAGTGATTGTTTTAAATTCTCCATTATTTTGTCCTTCGAATTTTAATTCTTTATAATGACTACCAAATGATTTTATGTGAACAATCTTGGGGACACCATCATTATTAACCAGCAATCGCTCTTCCATAATGATTATATTTCCCGTTACCCTTGTCTTGTCTGTTGTTAGGGGCAGATGGAGAGAACATCCCTCACTCTACAATCCTGTTGAATATGCTCAAGATTATAGCACCGGTAACATTCTACTCGGTTTCTCGGCGTTGGTGTTTTTTTGTCTACCTTCTAGTAATAGTTTCTGCATTTTCTCCATAAAATTACTCATAACATTCTCGAAGCTAACACTCCTCTCCTCTTTTGACGATTGTTTATCATTTGGGTCTTTCCCTGGAACTTGGAATCTCTGAGACCATCAATAAACGCAGATACTGCCATCCATTCCTGCATCCTGCATGTCTTTCCCAGCTGCAGGAAACGCAAAACCGTTTCTTATTCTTTTTTTTTTTTTTAATAAATTTAGAAGAAAACAAGAATTCAAGAGCGTGGAATAGTAAAAAATTGACACTAAAGAAAAGAGAAATATGGAAATACAGAGGACAAAAAGGAAAATTGATGATTTTTCTTTTCTATTCCAGGCTTTTGAATATCATTCTGTATTATTTTTTGAAAATAAATTTAGAAGGAAACAAAAATTCAAGAGCCGGGAATAGTATAAAATTGACACTGAAGAAAAGAGGGGAAATTTGAGGAAAATTGAAAATGTTTCCTTCCTATTCCAGGTTCGGCTCTTGAATGTTCGGCCGGGGTTACCCAATTCTTCAATTCTTAATTTTTGTTCTTAAATCTTTATTTTTAAAAACACCAATGTTGAATATAAATTGAAAAGGATGGATCCTCATATATAATAAGGCCTGTGTAGAACAAATCTGAAGCCCCCCACCCACCAGGCCAAACCATGTGAGAATGTGAGGTGCGCAGCTTGTCCTTTCTAGCCTTGACGTAGGCTGTTTGCACCACAGGTTATGATTCCGCGGGCTTTGGCTTTATGCATACTTGGTTTTACTACATTATTTTAAACGCTGTGTCTAGCCTCCCGGCACCGGTATTCATACGAATCCCGGTTATGACGCGTTTTAAATGACGTCATCAACAACCACCGGTAACTGTCGTGGATCCCGGCTATTTCTATACAAGATGTTAATAATTCATTGTTCATTGGTTTTGGGGCAGATTTATTATGAAGAGTAAAAAAAGTAAACAAAGTCGGGCGTGATAAGCTTTTATGAATGGAAAATAAAATTATGACTTTTTATTATATGTACAGGGTCTTTCCCCATATATTGACCCCCCCCCCCACTACACGGGTTATGTGACCATTACATACATTATTTCACCACGGGTAATTCTGTGATTTCGTTGAATTGTACATCATTTTGAAAGTCTGTTCAGCATTTGATCTTGTACAGCAACGCCGGTAATGCTCAGCAACATTACACATTGTGCCCCAAAATTAGAGGTCAATATTTTAACTGCGGATTCTACATCTCAAATTAAGAGCAAAAGTTCCTATAAACATGGGTCCAAGAGTACCCTATTCCAGAGATACAGGCAGTTAAAAAAGCTATAGTTCTGAATAATGAATGAAAATGAACCATACTATTCCCTTTTTAAAACACTACTACGAAAAGTGGATTAACGAAGTACTTACCACTCTAATACCAATATCACAACAAGAAACAATAATACACAAAAGTTATTCCGGAATTAATCACAGCCTCAAGCAGCAAGAGAAACACGACTTTGAATTTTGAATCCAATAGCCGGGATCCACGATAAATCCCGGTGGTCGTTGATGGTGTCATTGAAAACGCGTCATAACCGGGATTCGTATGAATACCGGTGCCGGGAGGCTAGACACAGCGTATTTTAAAACAACTCCTTTTTAGATCTCGATTGCATCTTCCACTTTGCGTGTTATGGTAATCAAAATTAAATGATATTTTTCTTTTCATCATAAATTTAAATTCTAAACTAGGAACGCTGGCGCAAACAGCTGACGACAGTTCATTGCTGACGACTTAGTTAATGACGTCGGACGTCGGCAATGGTGATACACCAATATGACCGTGATGTAGCCGTGATTACCAAAAACGAGCAATCCTTAGTAAATAGTGTGTATTATTATCCTTGGGTAACTCCGGCCTTCCTATGTTATTTTTTTAATAAATTCGGATGTTAGAAAATCCAAAAATGTATTACAAACTCTAAAAAACTTTCCAAATCAACACAAAAAAATAATTTGTGCGAACCTACTTTTAAGAAGAAAAATCCCATATTTATACGTAACCGTAACTTTAAGTTGCAAACCCAGCCTTAGACAGATCCTAACATTCCTAACCCTACTTTTCTTTATTTGTTAGATTTGTTTACATTTTTAAAAGGGCCAAAGACTGAGACTGAAAACTAGATAGGGCTCAAATCCAAAGCAGGTGTAGGGTGTAGACAGAAGACAAAGTCGTCACAGAACTAGAAGCTCTTCCTGTTAATAAAATGAGTGTAATCAAAAAAGATACCAGCAATGTAAGCCCCAAGAAGAAAAATATTGAGGAAGGTAATTTCATCAGTATTTCAATTTATAATTCAATAGTAAACACCCGGAGATCATAATTATCAATAATATTTTAAACCTAATGTCCGTACAAATACAAAAGAAGCCAGAAAAACTGACTAGAATTTATTTTAGAGCTAAAACTTGCTGTACAGGACTCTCCTAAGAAAAACTGTATTAGTCCTCTCTTAGGCTAGTTTATTTATTACACTTTAAAGTCTAAAATTTTTCTGTATAAGATTGCTCTGGCCTGTTTAGCAAATTTTAGCCTTTCTCTGTCATTCAATACTCTGACTAATAAACCTATTTCAGATGCATCAGATGCCAATTTCCGTACCCTAAGCATACTATCATATTTTATAGTACTAGTCCTTCTAGGAGTGCCAATTTGGTGGTACACAACTAGAGTCTATAGAGCATCGCTGCCCCTAGACGAAATTAACAGCCTCCAGCTAAAATCAAAAAACTCTAGTGATTTTGGTCTCCCCCTAAGCCTCGATTATGACATCCTAATAAGTTTCATCCATCCGGATCCACAAACAATAAACATCCAAGCTAATGCCCGAGAAATTGACCATTATTTGCAACACTTCTTGAAAAAAATATCCCTAGTGACTGATTTCATTGTGAAATCCCAATGGTTGTATTTAACAGAACTCGGTGCTAAACCCAGGAAAGTTATGGACCATTTTGCTTTGTTAGAAAACCAATTACCACACGTAATAACGCCTTTGGAAACCAAACTTTGGTCTCACGTTTCTCCAAGACCAAGCATTCATTTGGTTGTATATTTCCCCCATTGTCAAGCTCCTTTGTATATTTACAATTCCCAAAATCAAATGACTTCGACTAACACTTTTATAAGTCCTAGATGGGGCGGGATATATCTTATGAATCCTGATAAAAACGCTTGTAAATTAGGTAGTTTCAAAGCTGATTCATTACTAATTGCTTCAACATTTCAAGAAATTCTAAAAGAATTGTTTAAAGTTGGGAATTTGAAAGAATTTACTTTAAATAAGATTGAAGAAATGCTTGAATCGTCTAAAAGAACTTTGAAGTCTTTGGCTCAATTGTTGTCTGAAATCAATAGTATTGTCATAAGCGACAAGGTAGCTGATAAAATTAAATTAGCCCTGGAAAGTGTGGGAAAAGCTGAAAAGGCACTAGCAATGGGCCATGGAAAAGAGGCTTTGGATCATGCTAAATTAGCTTTTAAAAATTCTGAAGAAGCTTTCGGAGATCCTTCCTTACTTGCTTTGCTGTACTTCCCAGATGATCAGAAGTAAGTAATTTTGTTGGTTTGATTTTTTGAATTTACTAAAAACTTTTTAGATATGCAATCTACATTCCATTATTTTTACCAGTGATGATTCCAGTTATTATGTCGTTGATTCAAATAAGAAAGCAACTAGGAAGCAAAAATGCTGATAAAACCAAAATAGATTAGTTCGTTTATTTTAATTTAATAGTTTTTGTGATATGTGATTTTTTTTAAATTAAACAACCGAGTCCCAAAAAACTTAGATTCTTCCTTTTGCCTTTTTTTTGCATGTACTGTTCCAACTTGTCAGAAATAGTTATTACAAATACAAATAACTTTGATAGGTTAAAGAAACATTCACTTTTGAGAAGGGCATGTTATTCTATGGGAGAAGTTCTACTGTGCATATGTGTCAAAAACCAGGACAGGATAGAATAACAGAGGGGAACAGAAGGAGGGATGAATAAATAATATACAAAAAAAAATTAAAAAAAAAACAAAATATATAATTCTTCACTACACTAAAATAAAACAAACAAAAAATATCCATTTATTTCACAAACTAAATTGTCAGGGTCAGTTTCTGCATCAAATAATTAATTCATGAAATTGTGCTTGGAAACCAAAACAGAATAAAATTATTTAGATGACGAGACGTAATAATTGGTGAAGAATCTGACCACAAAATCATGGAACAAACTATACCACATAATTAATTATTATCTTAAAAACTAATTTTTTGGGAATATTATATACAAAATAGCCTAAAATTTATTTGACAAATATGTTTTTGGCAAACATTTTCTATATGGTGCTGTGCCAGATCTGTTCAAATAAAGTACAGTAGAACCCCGACTATCCCAACTCTAGATTAACCGAGCCAGTCTCGAAACCCAAAAATCCTGATTATCCGAGGTATGCACGTCCTTACTCCATATTAACTGACTTTCTAGAATATAGTTGTCCGATGTGGGTACCCCCCCACGTTACCTCGGATAACCGTGGTTCTACTGTATTATGATGTTTTTGTTTCAATAATTAAAAGTTCTTAACTAATATACATAAATTAATAATTGGTATAATATGTATATGTACAAAGATTTGCAAAATTAATGTTTATAATAATCATTGATTTTGTAACCTTAATATGAGCGTTACAATTTATTTATGTTGCTTGTAAATTCTCTCAGGATACACTAAATGTAAGAAAAAGGCAGTAAGAATTGACTGAAATCTCTATCCACAAAAACAAGGTGAATTAAAATGTCCATTTTTCAAAGATATCTTAGAAACTATTATTGAGAATTCACCCATAGTTTCTCACAAGTTGGGTTAGTCAATACGGAAACCGAAATCCCCATTGTCCTAATTTAAGCTTAAGTGGAGAAGCAATGAAAGACATTTCTAGCTGTTTCAAGCTCAGAAAAACTATTTCAAAGCTAAGATCAAAACAGGTAAAAAAATATTTCATTATCTCCTACAAGTTCCTCATCAACAAAAAAGTCTCTAATCAATTTTCACAGCGGCATAGATTTTTCTAACAAAGGCGTACGCTGCATAAAACCCAATGGTCCCAGTGAGCAACCAGAAAGTAAACACCATCAGCCCTGTATAACCGATATACAAGAGGGTTGGAATGAATTCGGTTATTTCAAGTTTGGTCATGAAATAATAGAAGGAATAGGCTAGGATGTAGAAGGCCGATCCTCCCGAGACCATAAAACTGCGCCACCACCAATGGTAATCCTGCAATTAGAGGATAATGTAATTTATAAATCTAAAAAATAAAATGTACGTTTTTACCTCTCCACAAAGCTGGAAATACACCATCACAATGGAAATTTGTGAGCAAGATATCACAAGTATTATAAAGACCACAAACAAAAATCCAAATAGATAATAGAATTGATTTTGCCAAATTGCTGTAAATATGAAGAACAATTCGATAAAAACTGCCCCAAACGGAAGAACTCCGGCAATCATTGTACTAAAATAAACAACATTATAAATCAATCAAAATAAAAATACAAAAATTATACCATAAAATTGGGTTCATATACCAATGCTGTTCAGGAACTTGTCTTGGAATCTGATTGGTCCTTACTGGATGCTGGTAAGGCTGTTTTCTATATCCAAAGTAATATCCTAAATATATTAAGGGCAAGCAAATAAAGACCCACATTAATAGTATGGAAATCATCGTTGAAAATGGTACTGCACCACTGCTAGCTTTACCTAAAAGGAACGTACATCAATATAAATTTGTAAACTATTTGACAACATTTACCCCAAATGAAGAAATTAAGCAAAAAACATGAACCTGCCAAGACTGCTGGATACAAAGTCGCTGTCAAAAAAGCAGCTTTTTTCCATTCTCTCCCTTTCATAGTTTTATACAGTCTGGCAGACGAATATCCAGCAACTGCTCCATTGATCAAATAAAATATTATAGCTGCATTTGTTAGAGCTCCTCTGGACGCTGGAGATAAAACTCCTAACATGGCAAAAACTAAAAAAATAATTGTTATTTTATACAATACAACATAATATTAGTTTCATACAAAGTGTGGGTAATGCCATTAATAAAATCTGTATCCCAGATCCTATAAAGGCAGCAAACAATCTAGAATTTTTCGGCGGACGAAATACATCTCCGTGAACTAATTTCCAGCCAGTTTCCTCAACAGCATCATCATAGAATTCATCAGCGTTGTATTTTTGTATGTCCTTATTCAATGTCTTAACCATAATCATTGTCAAAATCCCAGATAAAAAGAATATAACAACAATTGAATTGACAATTGAGAAAATATGAATTTCCGCATCAGTCATGGCCAAATAAGTGTCCCATCTTGATGCCCAACTTATACTAGATTCTTCCCATTCGATTTCGTAAGTGAAAAATAGTTTAGTGCCAGTATTGGCATCCACCACTTGCGGTTTCGCGTCGTTGGCAAAACTACAAGTTTTTCCATCGAATTTTATGTCTTCCATCGATACAGATCTGGCACTGAGGCTGAAGCCAACAACACGGTAGACATCACTAGAATTACAAAACTTCAGGACAAGTTGAATGAAAATAAACCTTGCTTACGGTTCTGGTTGATGGTACGATAATTTAAATTTCAAATGGTTATTGATTATACTTCTATCTCCTACAGAATTTCCTAATCTGTAGCCATGTTCATATTCGACTTCTTCAGTTTCCACGTTTTTTCTCGGGGTTGCAGCTGGAAGATTATCAACCAACCTGAAAGCCAAGTCAAAATAATTAAAAAAAAAAAAAATTCAACATCTAGAAAAACGCTAAAATCAAGTTTGATTCCACTTATTAAGTATATAATAATGTAGATCAGTAATACAATATGTGGATTTTGAGGTCTATGGAAAGACACTTTCCGCTGTGTAGGGTGGTTGATGTTGATATACAATTTTATTATCTTCAGAGCTTAGTTTCTCATATGGAAATAGATAAACGCTAAAAGCCGAAGATCCTACTACTACTACTTCTATCTATCTATTTAAACAAGCGCACTATATGGAACTGAACAATTACTTCAACAGTATTGACTAGAATGTATGTTTAAGTAATAGTGACTGTAACAAAGCGGTCTCTAGGTTGTACGAAGTTATACAGCAATCAGTATGTATGTACTCTGAACTAAAAAAGTAAATTGCACATAAAAATCGACTCTATAAAAAGTACAGAAGATCAAGACGGCAATCGGACTATGAAACTTACTCTCCTTAATCTGAAGCCTGGAAAGACGTGAAGTATATGCACAGCATATGCATCAAAGATTAACCCGTCTGTGTATATGCATAGTGACATGTCCTACCTGTTACATGTTACCAAAGCTCAGCATTTAATTCTGTCAAATGTGAAACAATGGGCTCTTTCACTAAAATTTAAATACGTAATTTAAGTATAAAATCTCAAAGGAGGGACTATTTTAGGCATATATACCAAAAAAAAATGTTCTACAAGGTTCAATAAGTTTTTCATAGGCAATCAAAAGTGCCTAAATTCAAACTATTTTAAAACGCGCCGATTTGCCGACGTCACATAAATATTCTTCATTTCGCTTATGTCGTTGCAAGGAGGAAGGGCTCGGCTGTGTTTGCGCTCTGTAAAGATACGTTAAGGTTCGAATGCGCTGTTGTCGGTTGTGACTAAATGTAGTGCAGCGTAAAATAAATAAATAAAACTAAACATAAAAAATTGCATTAAATTGTATTTAAGCATAATTTAAAAAAAAAATGTTATAAAATCTTGAATCTATAACTAATTAATTTAACTACTTTTCATGAGATTTTGCCAACATTTCAGAATTAAATCTATTACAAATTTTCAATGTTGACAATTAGTGGCAACAGGGTCAAATTGCGAGCTGCGACGTCATAGAAATAAATTCTGGGTTTTTATTTGGAGGTATTTCTTTGTTTTCTGTTTTCTCAAGAAGGACTTTGAATTTTTCAAAAGTAAAAATACAGAAAATTCTGTTTTTAGTTGCTTTATCCAAATATGCCAATTTCAAAAATTAGTGAAAGAGCCCATTCTGGTAATTTATGAAATCTTTGAAGCGAGTTGCAGGCTTGCCGATTCAGATGCATTGTAACAATATCTGTTCATCACTTCAAGAATAATTGTTACTCTGACAAAGATGTTGAGATCAAAGAAGACTACTCAGTCCCCTTTGGAACATACCTCTCCAATCATCACTTCAGAGTCGAGGAAATAGAAAAATTCTGGAGCTCGATGCCTCAAAAAGTCCTCGACTGGATGGTTTCTCCACAATGTTTCTTAGGCTGTTGCACATCTCTAATAGAACATATTTTCCAACTTTCTTTCAATACTGGCATTTTTCCTAGAAATTGAAAAATCTCAACACTTTTCCCTACCCACAAATCAGGAGATAGCACTGATAGGAATAATTATATAGAGGCATATCTCAACATTCTGACAGACCATGTGTATTCATGCTTTATAACTACATTGCTAACGGATCGCCTTTGAACTATCTTGCTATCTAATAACAGTTCCTAACGAAAGCTTTGGAATCAGGAAAACAGGTGGATGTGATCTTCGAGGACATTTCAAAGGCCTTTGATGATAGTGTGTGCCATAAGTTGTTACTGAAAAAACTCTCAGATATGGGCTCCAGTGCAGTTTTCCTAAAATTTATACTTAGAATCGTACTTAACAGAAAGCTATCAAAGAGTTGGTGTGTGCGGTGCAGTACCCCACGAGTTCATAGTTTCATCCAGGGTCCCTCAGGGAATGCACATCAGATCGATTCTGTTTGTTCTTTTCATAAATGATGTCATCCAATGCTTCCAATCATCCCTCTGCTTACTACACTCTGACAATTTGCAATTTTTTGCAGTTGTGGACAGGCACTCTATCTCTCTCCAGCCGGATTTGGACAGGTTGGTCGCTCGGTGCAACTCAAATCTTCGTAAACTCAATGTTACTAAGTGCAAACAGATGATTTTTCACAAGACCATAAATACTTTACTGCCCACATACACCATCAACAACGCCAATCTGGAGACAGTCGACACCTTCAGAGACCTAGGAGTCACCTTTGAAAAACACCTGTCTTTCTACAAACACATCGCCAACATAGTCATAAAAAGTTCTAGACTTCTAGGTTTCATCAAGGAAACACCAGAGACATAATATGATACGAAGTGCATTATCTGTCTGATAATAGGTCTGTTTCTGCAGAAATTACAAACCAGTCAGCGTGAATTTCATTGGTTGAAACTAGTTTTCTGACTGTTTTCAACCAATAAAATTCGCTCTGACTAGTTTGTGATTTTTGCAGAAACAGACGTATTACAGTCTCATTCGATCCACACTTGAATATTGCAGCCAATTTGGACTCCAAGTATGTCGCATTGGAAGGATAGGAGTGCAAAATAAATTAACCAAATACCTGCTCTATAAATTGAGATTTCCTAGCCAGAACCTTGAGTATAATCCTTGTCTACAGCTCTACAGTATACCCAGCCTTGAGAATTGACGCAAAAATACCCAGCTCATTTTTCTCTGTAAAATTCCGCAGAATGCAACTCGCCCGACAGAGGCAGCTCTTTTTTCAACCTATGCATAGAACTAGCTATGGTGTGAATTTTACAATCAGGACTTTTCCCACATAGATCTTTTCAATACTGCTCTGAGTGTAATGGAAAGAGAAATCAGTACAAACGCTGTATTCTTTATATTTTTAATAAGTTGTAAATTTGCATATCATTATTTAGGTTTGTTTATTCAGTGCACCATTCAAAAATTTGTTCTGTAGAGTGCACATAAACATAAATAAATAAAAATGATTTTGCGATTATCGATGTTCAGTGCCAAATGATTATCTTCCCAGTGAATTGTCAAGTTCCCCTTGTAAAGTTTCACAGTCTCAGCAAAATTGTGAAACTTAAAGTGTTTAAACCAGTTTACTTAAACACATTTTCAACATCGTTAAGGAAAATATTGAAAAGGAAAGAGAACAGATGCCCACCGTGCAAGCAAAACACCAGAAATTATGTTAATCTCTAAATAAACTCAGTTTTTCATTTTTACTTTCTGCCTTCTTCCTGAAAGTTGGTCAATTACCCATCTTAAAGAGGCTCCATGAAACCCTATACTTCCAAGTTTTTTTTTCCAGGACTTTATGGTCAACTCTGTCAAACGCCTAAAAGAAGTCAATAAAGGTATATCATGTCTACCTGATATCCATCATCCATCCTACAGTCAATCAAACTGGGATTTGCCTTTCATCAAACCATACTTATTGTTCTGTTAATATTAAGTTTTTAAATAAAGGTGTTATTTTATCTGTCTGTAACTATTGACTCAACCTTTTTAGAAAATATAGACATTTTTTATATTGGCCTGCAATATTCAATGTTGTTTGTAATTGTCACCACTCTTAAAGTTGCGGTTACAAAACTTGTTTTCCAAATTGTTGGGAAAATTCGTGCAGATAATACCTATATCTAATAAGTATAGATTTTACACAAGATGTGAGAAAACAAGTAGGTATATATGCTTTTTGATACCAGAAACAGGTATAACATCTTGACCTGTTCCTAAGTTATTTTGCAGATGGGAAATCTCATGTATATTCATGACATTAATAGATAATAAACGTTAATCAACAGTAACATCACAAAGCATACTGAAATTGTTTTAATCTTCATATTCGTTATATTACAAAGCTGCATTCTACAGCTGGGAAAACCTTCAAAATCTTCTTTAGATCTTATGTAATTCCAAAAACAATTTTTATCCTGAACCCTATCTTCAATGCAATCCAAGTAGTTTTGATGGATGATGGGGGCACAGTATTTGCACTGCACACATAGCTGTGAGAATCTATGGTCCTCTAAGGATGATGTTTGCTTGAAAAGCTTTTGTGTGCGGCTTTTTTTATCTTAAGATAATAAGTTCCGTTAATGTGCCATCCTTCCACTTGGGAAAGATAGGGTTTTTATTTTTGTTTGAAGGAGGTGTTAATTCAATAGCATTATGATGTAATGTTATCCCTAAAGAGATTGACTAAATTCCTCCAAGTCATCAATTGAAATAACACTACCCTAATCAACCATCAATAATACTACATAATGATTTTACCAAGGATTTAACCGAGGATTTAACCTATTGCGGTAATAATCCCAATCTCCAATTATTAGCACTTACTTTAGTGCAATTAAACATTTGATAATTTCTTTTTCACTTAAATGATATGGTTTAGATCTAATACTACCTAATTGCCATAATATTCAGGATTTTAGATACTCCAAGTCAATATTTTTTCCTTTCAAATTTATGTATCTTTCAAAGAAAGCTTATTAAATAAATAATTTGAAAGAGTACTGTGATTCTCAATAATCATCTTTTTTCCACATAATATAGCCCAGGAAACGAAGGTATAACTAAACAAAATCGATGGTAGTCGGGTTTTATTTTTTTTCCGATAGATTTTGGGGTGCTGATTACTCCGGCATATTCCCAAAAGAAATTCACCGGGATCACCCCGTTTACGGCCCCTAAAGGGGGTAGTTTTTGTTTTTTTGCAAACGTAGTCCTTCCAGTGCGTTGTACACAAAAAAACGTTTATGGTAAATTATAGAGGACTATATTCCCTACAATTTCTTCAGCAACAGCATAGGTCCATCACCTACCCTATAGCGGGGGTGGGCTACTTTTGAAAAAACATGCTTCTGCAAAACAATTCTTTTTGTTCTGTCAATACAAATGCGAATTGAACTGAAAGCCTGTGGCTATTTATCACAGTGATGTATGACTAGTGATGTGAGTCGAGAATATTCCCATGCGAATATTCGCGAACATTGGGAAATTTCCGAGAATATTGGCCGATAAAAAATGGAAACGTTCTCCTGAATGAGAATATTCCCGGAAACTTTCAATCAAAAACTCTCAAAAAAATATTTCCGAGAACTTTCGAGAATATTCCCAAGAACTTTCCAGAAGAATTTTATAAAAATGTGAGATTATTGCGAATACAAGGTCTCAGTGACGTCATTTCAATTAGGTAATCCAACGACCTGTCCAAATAGCGTCTGGTTGGCAAACAAAAAACATATGTTTTTTTGGCGGAATTATCAATACACGGGGCGAGTTCTCAAATCTGACACTTTTCTGACATTGTTGACATGTAATAACCCGTATTCTAACCTCATAAAAATTTCAAAATGCCGGCTGGTTGGCAAAAGTCACGTGGCTTGGATTCCCTAATTTATGTGGATGACGTAGCTCAGTCCAACTGTCTTTACGGAAACGCTGATCCGATTTACCCGATCACCAGCTGATGTACCTACAGTTTGTCTTTTTTTAAAATAATCTTCATTGAAGAAAAATAAAAAATAAAGAGCTGAGGGATTAGGTCAATCGGATCAGCTTTTCCTTTAAAGCCTTATTCAACCATCCATAAAAGTGTTTTTACTACATAGTTTAATTTTTAGCTGATCTTACAGAAAAAAATAGGTGTCTTTCTTGGTTTAAAGTCTATAGTCAGTACACTACACTACAATAATAGGTAAATAAAGCTTACAAGGATTTGTCTGATTTAGCTATAAATTAAAAAAAATACAATATTTCCATAAGTTCCCGAAAGTTTCCAATATTCCAGGAAAGTTTCCGAGAATGTTCGCGGCTTTTGAATGTTTCGGAAATTTTACATCACTATGTATGACTGATTTTTGGTATATTTTTTATAAATGGGCTATTGCGCATTTTTAAAATACGCGGTTTCATCCCCTAAAAAGCACACTTGATATTATCTGAACAGCTAATGCAAGCGTGTTCAAATTATCAGAGATTATTCGTGTAGGGTAGGGTTTCTATTCAAAAATTCCTATATTGTACCCCCACTTCCTCCCTGCAACCCCTTGAAAAAAAATAGAAACTGTCATAAAAAGTAGTTTTTTCCCAATTTCTACCACAGTTTCTATTTTTTGTCGGGGGGTTGCAGGGAGGAAGTGGGGGTACAATATAGGAATTTCTGAATAGAAACCCTACCCTACATGAATAATCTCTGATAATTTGAACACGCTTTCATTAGCCGTTTAGATAATATGAAGGTGTGTTTTTTACGGGATGAAACCCTGTGAACACGCTTGCATTAGCCGTTCAGATAATATAAAGGTGAGTTTTTTAGGGGATGAAACCCCGTAATATTTTAAAAATGCGCAATAGCCCATTTATAAAAAATGTACTAAAAATCAGTCACACATCTGTGATAAATAGCCGCAGGTTTTCAGTTCGATTCGTATTTGTATTTATGGAAAAAAAATTGTTTTGCAGAAGCATGTTTTTTCAAAAGTAGTCAACTTTGGCGCCCCAAAGTTGACCTCCGCTATAAGGTAGATGATGGACCTATGCTGACGCTGAAGAAATTGTAGGGAATATAGTCCTCTATAATTTACCATAAACGTTTTTTTGTGTACAACGCACTGGAAGGGCTACGTTTGCAAAAAAACAAAAAACTAACCCGTAAACGAGGTGATCCCGGTGAATTTCTTTTGGAAATATGTCGGATTCGTAATCAGCACCCCAAAATTTATCGGAAAAAAAATAAAACCCGACTACCATCGATTTTGTTTAGTAATACCTTTGTTTCCTGGGCTAATATCAGTATAGTGATTTGTAGTCAATCTTTAATGTCATTTGTTAATACTCCATATTCCAAGATGTTTCAATCCCAATATGGTCTAGTTCACAGCAATTGGGCATTTGCCAAAATAAATAAAGCAATTGCTGGGATATTTGTAGCTTAATTTTGTATCATTTCAGTCAAATAAATTTACTCGTAAATTTACAAGTAAGTACCAGAAGTTACTCACAAATGCACAAAATACTCATGCTGAATCCTATCAACGACCATCTGACTCTCGCCAACACTCCAATGCATAGGACTATCGGGAGAATGGCACAATAAGGAGCATTGCGTTGACTTGGCCATTTGAACCAAGTAAGGTGTATTAACAATTCGATCCCCTCTAAGCACTTCACCTAGATTCTCGCTTTTGTAATGAATCGCACTGGCACCCCCTTTGGGTAAACAAAAGGGTAGCGAGTAATACTCGTAGGGTAGTTGCGTGTGTATACTGGTCATTTTCACAGCCTTTACTTCTATAAAGTCACCTTTGCGGAAATCTGTCGGAGCCATTCCGGGTACATAGAATTGATGTGATGCATGGACGCATAGTAGTATTAGGGTGATTATTGGTGAGATCTGAATAATATGGGATTATAGGATTATAGTTTTGATTTTATATTTTTGTTATGTGTACTTACCAATTGGTGCATAGTCATTTTGTTGTGTAATTAATAACTTATCAACTAATTGTTGCTCTATTAATTTAATTTAATATTATGTAATTGAATAGTGTATATTTCGCATTTCTAGAGCTTAAAAAAACAATGAAAAATTAAAAAATGGGAAATTTTAAAGTTTTTGTTGACGTGAAAAAATTGGTTAGGTTATGTCTTCCCCTCCCCGTCAAAATGTCATTTAAACTTCAAATATCTGACAGGAAAAAGATATTCCCATGTTGTATTCCTTTCACACCTAAGAGGAGCTCCGGAATAGCTCCGGGGCTTCATGCGCTTATTCCTTTCGAAAAGTGTTTGTTGCACCACGCATCTGTTCCCTGCAAATCGGGGGCGCCGAAACACCGGAGCGAGTTGCTCGAGTGTTTCAAACTCTTGAAAGGAATACAACTTAAAATCTGTTTTTTTTTTTTAAGAACACCATTCGTGCACCAAATTATTTCCAAGCGCAAATGAAGTATACACCAAACTTACTCCTACCCATTAGCGAACGCCACAGTGCCAATAGTGTGAAAAGTGTCGACACTTTCTACCATTCCAAATTCACCTCTTCATCACGTGATATTACACTGGGGCGAGTTCAGGAATGACACACCCAGTGTGAGTGTCCGAACTTCTCTGGAACGCACTTTCACACACTTCACTCTACATAATTGACAGAAAAGAAGAATTTTTCTATATCCTAAAAGCTAACCTCACTTCTTTGTTTTGATTGTGTTTGTGTTTGTTGTTTTCTCTACCTCTAGTCTTGTTGGTATTTCTTGAAGTATTCTGGTTTTTAAAAATTTATCGGATTCTTATGAAAAGCAAAATGACGAATCCCACTGTTCTCGATAGTTCTACTCAAAAGGAAGAAGATCCCGATACCAACAACTTGATTAAAAGCCGAGAGTTTTTGTATCGGCTTATCATAGGGTAAGCAATTCCTATTTTTCTGATGTTTTCTCCTTCCTTGAGGCAATTTTGTAAACCTATATTGGGACCCAAAAGCAAAGTGCAAGAAAGTAAAACTCCCTACATTTGCCAGCCTACTAAGATCTGGGCTTTGTTATATGCGAGGTTATATGTAACACAAAATATTTTCTTACTGAAACTATCATAATTCATTCAGTAAGCACTAGTGAAAAAGAAAAGGTTCAAAAATGTTTTGTACAATATCTCTACATTGAGAATATAGTATATTGTGTATTTAGGTGGAAAAGTGACACATTCTCGGCCGACAGTGTAAGTTGATGGGCGAGGCGTAGCCGAGGCCGGCAAACACCGAAGGCCGAGAATGTGCTTTTCTACCAAAATACACCTACTATTTTTTCTGCGATCGGTTAAATATCTGTTAAATGTTTGTCTTCTTGTTCCAATTATTCAGCAGTACGAGAATCACTTTCCCGGCCTAGGCCGGAAAAGTGATTCCAGTATTGTTATTCATTGATTCCTTAGCAACTATTGAAACATAATTAAAATACCAGAATATTGAGTTTTCCGATCTGTCAACCAGTCAAAAATGCTGACATTTCTTGTCAATCGCAGAAAAATTATATTTTTTCATACATGGTCTTACACCGAGTCCGAGGGGTGAATAGCTCTTGCAGTCGGTGTACATATTCCTCACAATCTTCACACAATCATTCACAATCAGATCACAATCGTTCACAATCTGTCACAATCGTTCACAATCTGTCACAATCGTTACACAATCTCACATAATCTATCACAATCGTTACACAATTTCTCACAATCGTGTCACAATCTCTCGCAATCGTGTCACAATCTCCCACAATCGTTGCACAATATCTCACAATCGCTACACAATCTACCACCATCTGTCGCACGTGGAGTCCCTCCAAATAGTTTTATTTACTTTATTCTCGCCCATAATAATAAGCTAATTAGCTAATAAGCCCTTTTGATTAGCTAATTTTTGTATGCCACCTCTGCAGCATAAATTTCTGAACTCCGTCGTACTGAATAGGAAAATTCCCATAAACCCTAAAACAAGCATAAATATATGAGGAAGAATCGGAATATGTATACTTATCAAAAAGGACCTATCTTTACTTTCTTCAGTTGACAATCTTGAATTAAAGAATTATCAATAAAAAACAAAAAAGTTTAACTTAAAAACAAAAAAGAATTCACACTAAATCCAAGTAATATCAAGAAATAAAAAACTACTACCAGTACCTAAGAAAAACTTCTTTATATTGGCTATTTTCAGAAAAACATGGGAAATTATCATCAGATAGGTTACTAAGGCCCAGTTGTACAATCCAGGCTCAAACAGAGGTTTAGTTGAACTCTACTGGCACTTGAACCTTCCCATTTGAAATGCATTGCTGTCAAAAAATGTACACTTTGGCACAAGGGCGTCCATAGAACATTTTTCAGGGGGGGGGGGGCAAAAACCTGACTTATTTTTATTTTTTAAATAAGACCATCTATTGGCATAGCCAGGCTTGTTCCAAGAAAATTTTCAAGTGTGCATATTCGTTTGAGATTGTGGCTCTCTTTTCCCGACTCCAGCAGTTTTTGAAAATCTGTTTAAAAATGACGTCATTACTTTCATTCAAGAAAAAATTAGGTTTTCAAACCAGAAGAATTTAACCATTCGTAACCTAGAATTTTTGTTTGTTTTTTTATGATAATTAATTAATCACTGATATTTTCGAATGATCCATTTTTTATTTTTCAAAAATGTAAGAGTGTTCATGATACCATAACCTCCTGCACAAGACACAACACACGTATAAACATAAAAAACAGTCTACTTTACTAAACTTTTGCTCATGCGTTTGTTTTTGAACCGATGCGAAATCTTGTCTCAAAATATTTTCAAACAGTTTTGTTATGACGTCATTAGTTCAACGCGAAATAGGTTCAACGTTTAACCAATTTAAGCGGGGGAAAAAAAACTGAGCTTAGCTTTCAAAATAAATAACAGATGTCAGTAACCACCAAGGATAATACACACTACTAAGGATTGCTTATCGGCCTCGTTTTTGGTAATCGGCGTCATATTGGTGTATCACCATTACCGACGTCATTAACTAAGTCATCAGCGACGTCAGCTGTTTGCGCCAGCGGTTGTAGTTAAGAGGCGGAATCATAACCTGTGGTGCAAACAGCCTACGTCAAAGCGAGAACCGACATGTTGCCTACGTCACAACTGGTGATTTGGCGTGGTGGAAGGCTTCAGATTTGTTCTACACTGGCCTTATGAGGATAGGTTATTCTGTAGTAGTAGTAGTATGAGTAGTTGAGTAACCACAACCAACGCCCAAGGCGAGTTTGTCAAAAGTTTGCTTAAGGAAAATAATTTTGTTTTGGCTGGATTGTGAGAGAAAATTGTGCATATATTTTATATTTTATGAAGATTATGCATATTGAGATCAAATTGTGCATAATATGCACAATTGTGGACCTTGGAACATCCCTGGCCATAGCAACGCCAAGATTAATATTTGACTTGACTCATTGCATTTCATTTGACATATATCTAGTTGGTGGGTCGTTCGATAACATATCAAAATATTTGAGAAAATTGAGATTTTTCTCGAACAAAACGCCTGAAGAAAAAAATATCGTGTTATATTCCGAAGGTAAGCAACTTTAGTATCACTTTTGCTATTATGTTTTTTTATTCTTCTGGTAGCAATGGTAGTAGCATCATGAAACAATAATAATCGCCAGGCCTAGGGGCGGGCAAGTGCCCTATCTGCCCCCCCCCCCCCCCTATGGACGCCCCTGCTTTGGCATGTTTCTGACAGCAATGCATTTCAAATGGGAAGGTTCAAGTACCAAGGACCAGTAGAGTTCAACTGAACCTTTGAACCTGGATTGTACAACCGGGCCTTAGGGTGAGGGAGAAAAATGCCAAAAAAAGAGACAACAAAACAAATTGAAAAAAATCAAGGAAGTAATAAAAAAATTGAGAAAAAAAAATAGAGAGAGAAATAGTAAAAACTGAGAAAAGAAAGAAACTTCAAAAATACTAAAACCGCAAAAAAGCTAATATGCAACAAGTACAAAATGTAAACTAATTGATGGTTGATGATGAAACATCAGAATCAACCGATTCATTAATTAGCCTTCATGATTTAGAAAGTGGAGAGGAATATTTCAATGATCCAGAACAGCAGCTTGAAGTAGAAAAGTATTATGCAGCCTCTATTATGCCAGTATTATGCCAGTATTATGCCTTCTAGAGGTGTCAGAAAAGTAACTATTCGTTACTCGAGTACTCGTTACTTGCCCGGATCCGAAATAACGAATACAAAAATCGCCGGCGTTATAGTTATTTGAGTACTCGAATCGAAATTCTCTATGCGCATTGCGCACCATATTTTTTATCCTTTTCAAAAGTATTTGAAATTTTGGGTTAATTTATTTGTATTTGTAGTATTTGTATTCCAGTCAGAACGAGTATTTGAGTACCGAATATTTAGTAACGAGTACATTACTGAAAAGTAACGAATAGTTATGAGTAGTCAAAAGTAACTGTATTTTACATCTCTAATGCCTTCTCTAAAAGGTGGCTACAGACGGTGTGCCAACGTCAGCCAACGTTGGGACCAACGTCAGCCAACGTTGGGACCAACGTCAGCCAACGTTGGGACCAACGTTGAGGCCAACAATCGGATATTCGTCATCATTCGCAAATTGAAAGCATTCACACGACGTGCCAGCGTTGGTGAATGTTGGTTATGTGTGAAAAATAGCAAACTTGTACCAGCATTGGTTCAATGCCGGTACAAGATGGATTCCGATGAGCTGGAAGTTGTGATTGCGGCTGCATCAACGTTGCTATTATCCACAAGTGCACTGCTAGACATCATAAAAACCCAAAAGTTAACTAGTCCCACAACTATGGTCCTACTTTCGCCAAAACATACAAACAAATGTGCACGCTCGTGTGTATGGAGAAAATGGCATTGGCCAATATATGCCAGTCGAGACCTGATCCCTTTGATGTGTGCCAGAAATACCGCCTCCGAGGCGAACGTCGGCCAGCGCCAACGTTGGACGGAGTTCGTAGCACGTTTTCTATACACACGATCCGATAATGTTCACAAATGCGGAAGTTGGCGTATGTTTGCCATGTCGTCTGTAGGCCGCTTAACAAATACCAAATTGGAGAATTGACAAAAGTAGAATGACATATAACTATTTTAGAAGTCTTATGATGGCCTAAAAATCCAGACGTGGACGTTGTAGAAAAAACATATCTGTATTTGGTACAATCCATTTTAAAAACTATCCATTTACATTTACACTATCAAGTCACAAAAAATTAACAACATTTTCAAGTACATGAAATCCTAATTTGAAACCAAGTATCTACCTCACACCAAATTCATTTTTATTTGTCATCCTCCTCTGTGCCACCCTGTACAGGGTGTTCCATTTTGGTTGTACATAAGGGATACGCGGTTGCTATTAGAGTTAGGAGGATGCGGTTTTCCCAATGGTGGTTACTTTTTTGCCAGCCAAAAGATGCCACCGGCAGAATTGTCATCGCCCTTTTTGATTTCAAGATACAAGGTGTTTTTGAAAATGTTGCATTTTGGGACAGCCCTCTGTATCTCAGTTCTCTCACAAGTGATCAGGTGACAACGGATTCTTATAGATCTTTTTACGTAGATTCCAGTGGGGTAGTCAGTTTTTCTCTAGAAGTGATAGGTACGAGAAGTGACAGTTTTTAAATTGTGGACCTAACATACGTTTTTTGAAATAAGACACCCTGTATATCATTAACTCATTGGATAGCTCTGTTTTTGCTGATTTCAATGATATAAAGTTCGATAGGTTTATCTATAAAAGTTTCCGAGCAAAATTGTTTTGTTTTTGTCATAAGAAACAGAAACAATGTGTTAGATAGAGACCTTTCTCATTTTCCTTACAGATATAGGTAACGTCCT